ATAGAAAAAAGCAGAGTGAGTAGGAATCAGAATGGAGGGAAAACATTTTTTTGGAGACACTGATACAGAAAGTAAGAATAAATTAGAGATGGGGGAAGCAGAAACAAGTTGAAAACCCTCAGGTCTAAGAACAGGGAAAGGAAGAAGGGAAAGGCGTTCCTGGAAGAGGAGAAAGCATGAGCAAAGGATACCAAAGGCAGAAAGCTCAATGGGCAAGAGGTAAATTGCTCAAGTTGGACACCGGGTTCTGAACTTGGGGGTGGGTATGGTAATCTTGGGCATCATTTCAATCCTCACCAAMGACAACACTGGGGTGCGTGATTTAGTAGAAAAACCAACCTCAGAATCCAAAGCCAGTATTCCCGGAATATTAGGAATTAAGACTGGAAAAGTAAGCAGGTATCTCAAGGGCCCACGTAAAAACTGAATTTTGTCTCTTAATTAAGTAGGCTCCACCGAATGATTAAGAGTCGCAAAGCCACAGGAACTGACAGGCAGTTTAGAAAGACCTGAGGCTGGTGAGAGGCTGAAGGCAGGGTAACTAGTCAGGAGTGCCGTTCCAATAGGCAGGTGCATGGGAAGAGTGGTCCAGACAAGAGCAGACAGGAGGTCGCAAAGACAGAAGACCTGCCGGGGGGCGGGATCAAGATCACCGAGCCTGACGCCGGGTAAAGCACGAGTTTGAGGTCACCRGCACATCCAATAGCGCTTTCACGTACTGTACGCAGGGGACCAAAGCCGCACAGACCACTACGACCTGCCCACCTGCGCCCGGTGCCCTGCACTGTCCCGCGGCCCCGGCCCAGGGCCGGGTAACCCGACGGCGGCCGGCGGGGGCCAGTCCCGGACCAGACCTTCACCGAGGCCGAGGAGGCGGGTGCAGAGTCATCGTGCCCACAGTTCCTCAGCAGCRGCTGACGGCGGAGACCCGCTATCTTTACGCTCACAACCCCCACCCAACGGACAGCGACCAGGCTTCCGCCGACCACCGGGGACCAAGGCTCACCAGAGAGAAGACACTGAAGAGGGRAGATCTACAGAGACGGAAATAGTCTCGGGGAGAACTACCACCGYCTCACAGCGTCCGCTGCGAATATGGCCCCCGCGCGTGCGCAGAGCAGCAGGGGGCGGGGCGGTAAGGATGCGGAAGTCCTCCTGGAGGCGGGGCGAGAACTGGTGMCCAGGAGAAACTGAGAGTTGCTGCAGGTCGGCTCAGGCTGGTGTCTTCCGCGGCGCTGGGGCGAATTGTGCAGCGTGGAAGGCGGGCTGGCGACCCCCGCCTAAGGATCAAGTGGAATTATARCGGATTTCCCCTTACGCTTTGTTTTCATTTTTACTTTCTCCTCTTTACCACTGTTGGTGGACCTAGGATAAGCATTAATGTGGACTTGCTACCCACCATTCCAGCCCTTTTCCCCACAATTGTCTCAACCAAATCAGAATTTACCCTTCGTTCTGTTATGGGCCCCCTTCTAAAATCTGGTTTCCACTTTTATTATTAATATATGAACTTTTTGACATATAAAGCAAATTGTATTGGGAATCACACCTATGGGACAACTTTCACTTTCATTTTTATCTCCCCCCACCAACCTAGTTTAAAGGAGAGCCCTACCATCACCAGATATACACAGCATATCTTTGCTGAATTTGTCATGTTTTCTAGTTTATATTGTTGCCAAAATTTCAGTCCTTTTTCCTGATGCCAATCCAATGAGGAGGACATGGTTTTGAGAAAAAGGAAAAAGGTGGTTTATTGTTTTGCTAACAAAGGAGAAACCCGGGACTCTCAAAGGCAGTGATTCTGCCCATCAACAGGAACAGGGGGCTTTTTTAAAAGAGGCACTTCAAAGGCTACATTCCAGGTGTTCTCTATTGGAGTTGTGATTCATCTGTTAATTTGGGAGATGGTCATTTCTGAGATCTTCTGGTAGTATCCCCAAGGTCTGAGTTACTTCATTCCTATGGTGGGTGTGTACACAAGGACAGATTAACTCTGACTAGGATGGAGAAGAAAGGTAATCCTGTTCTCCCCTTCCCCCAAGATTAGCAGGGGGAGAGGAAGAGAATGAAATATGTCTACTTAAAAAAATAAGTTGGAGGGGCAGAGCAGCAAGGTTTATAGTCAAAGCATAAAGTGGACCATTATTACAGTACGTTCATTATCTTACACTGTTACAGTATGTTCATATCCTTTCCATCCTTTTACTTATCCAGCTTCATCCCTACTATACATGTTTAGGCTTTTGGGGGATAGTAGGTTGACTATGTAGTTATTTCAGTCCATTGGACAGGGACTTTGTCCTTTATAGGTAGGCTGTGTAAAATTATTGGTCTGGGCTTTGAAAAGGAGGTAGCTTAGAAATGAGTTACATTTGGAGGTCTCTTCTGTCATCTCTATTTTTCTAACATGGTGGGGGGTAAGCCAAGGCAARGTGGTAAAGGGAACATCCAGACAGGTGCTCCAAAAGCACCCTCAAGTGTCACAATTTATGGCACCTCTGACAGCGATGCATGCCATCTTAGTTCAGGCTGCAGAATTCAGCAAATACTGAGTGAGAGGGAGGATTTCTTAGGTCAGAAGAAGGGGTCAGTTGAAATTAAAGTGCATAAGAATGAATTTGACAAGTTTCAGTGACAGAGTAGTTCAGTATGGCCTGAATGGAGGAGAAAATATAGTAAATAAAGGACAAAAGACATTTGAGGGAAGACGTTTGAGGATCACAAGTTTGAGGCCAGCTTATAGAGTCCCTTCAATGTCAGAGTCTTTTTTTTTAGAGAATTTTTTAATATTTATTTTTTAGTTTTCAGTGGACACAACATCTTTATTTTTATATGGTGCTGAGGATCGAACCCAGGGCCCTGTGCATGCCAGGCGACCGTGCTACCGCTTGAGCCACACCCCCAGCCCAATGTCAGAGTCTTAAAAAAAAAAAAATTTTCCCCCTTCTCAGAAACAGGAGGAGAGGATAAATGTTTCAGGATGATGAGGGCTTAAGATATCCCATCCCACACATTTCTTTCACAGTGCCATTGATAGTTCCCATTGAGAGGGTCCATGTCACCCATCTGGGAAGCAGGATGAGCTTGTGACAATAATGGAAGTGATATCATTTGACATGAGAGTAGTTAAAAAATAACATAATTTATTTTTTTCTTTGGGGAGGGTTCTTATTAGAACCCAGACTCTATGCCATGAAGAAGCAAAGACCATCTGGAGAGGCATTTGGCCAACTGCACATGAGGTGCCASCATTACTAGCCACATGGGTAATCATTCCTCCAGAATCACAGTTCCTAGTGATTGAGTTTCTCACAAGCATTAAAGCTCTCCCAGCCTAAGCCCCAGACATCAGGGAGCAGAAGCAAGCTATCCCAAGGTTCATCTGAATTCATGCCCCCACAGAAACAATAAGATAATAAAATTATCATTGTTTGAAGTCACTAAGTTTTTAGTTGAATTGTTACACAGCAATATATGTAACCAGAATTCTTATCTGGCATTAACTTAAAGGATGTAAGCTGGGAAACTAATGATAAGAAAACCAGACTATAAAGCTATTGCAGTCATCCTCTCTAGGATAAAAGTCTGAATAGAAAAAGACATGCAAAAGCAAGGAATGTTCCAGACATTTGGCATTGATTTCTAAATCCCAAACTGGATTTTCTCTTTGGTTGAAAAGATGAGGGCCTAGGACTTGTAGAAATGTGTACATTCTTGCAGTTCATTCAATACATATTTACTGGGGATCTGCTAGGGAATGGCATGGTACTAGGTTCTAAAGATGATATGAACTAAATTTTATTCAATTTATGCCACTGTATTAAGATTCTCTAGAGAAATAGAACCAACAGGACAGACAGATCTGAGGGAATTTATTATGGAAAGTTACATGGGAACTTATTATTTTAAGACAGAGGCCAAGAAATCCCACCATACTCCATGTGCAAGCTGGAGAACCAGGAAAGCCAGTGGTATAATTCAGTGTGAGTCCGATGGCCTGAGAACCAGGGGAGTTGATGATATAACTTTCAGTTTGAGACCAAAGGCCTGAAAACCAGGGTGGGGGGGAGCTGTGGTATAAGTCCTGGAGTCTGAAGGCGAAGAACTTGGAATGTATATGTCCATGGGCAAGAAAAGATGGAATGCCAGCTCCAGATGAGACTGAATTCATCTTGCCTCTGCCTTTTTGTTCTATATGGGCCTCCAAATGATTAGATGATGCTTACCCACATTGGTGAGAAGAGATCTTCCTTTTTCAGTCCACTGATTCAACTGTCAATCTCTTCCAGAAATACCCTCTCAGACATACCCCAAATTAATGCTGTCTGGGTATCCCTTAACCCAGTCAAACTGATACTTAAAATTAACCATCACAGCCAATGAAGAATGTATAAACTACATGGAATTGATTGATTAGACATAAGCTAGAACAAACTCCAAATAGTAAATTATCAACATAATGCAGCATTATTTAAAAACTGAAATAGTGGTCAGCAATATTTTCACTAGGATTCAGTGAAAGAATGTTAGTAAGAGCAATCAAGAGGAAAATCTGCAGGATTTTGTTATATAACAGGATGAACACAGGACTAGGAGTAAAATCAAAGTTTCAGTCTATTTTTCTGGTCCCCAATTTCTTCAGTGGTCAGATCAGATAAAAACCACAATCCCTTAAGTTTGAGAAGCGTAAGTGCTTTCATGTGAATGATCTTATTTGTTCCTCTTAACACATGTTGGGGAAGGTAGAGGTAGGGGCTGAGATGGAGAGACCAGAGAGAAGGGAAAAAGTAGAGTATGCTCTATTGAATCCTGTAGCGATTAGGAACATAGGCTATATCAGAAAGACCTGATGTAAGCTGTGGGTCTCTTTGACTAAATTAATTCAACTTTTTAAGCCCTTATTTCTTTATCTGGAAACAGGAATTCATCATAACAATATTTCCTTCATGGACTAGTTATGAAGATTAAATGATAAAGTGCATGTAAAATACTTAGTGCTCATTAAATATTGGCTTATATTATATCTTGTTAAAAACTTAATGAGGCAGGGCCGAGTGCAGTGGTACACACCTGTAATCTCAGCTACTTGAGAGGCTGAGCAGGAGGATCACAAGTTTGAGGCCAGCTTCAGAAACTTAGCAAGACTCTCTCTTAAAAAATATAAAGGGCTGGAGATACAGCTCAGTGGTAGAGTGCCCCTGGGTTTAATTTCTGGTATCTTTCCTCTGTCTCTGTCTCTCTCTCTCTCTCTCTTTCTCTCTCTCTCTCTCWCWCACACACACACACTTCAAATGCACATAGTTAAAAGTGAACTGATCCGTTTCATCAATTCATTAACAGATCAATTCATTTTTAATTATGTAGTCACAAAGAGATCCCAGATTCATAGGACTTGGCAGTTTCAAACCAGATTTCTTCTACTGCTTTCTGGCCCATGTCAAACATTTGCTGTAAATGCTTCCACCCAGTTTTTGCAGTAATCATGAGATACTCTTTATTCTCTGGGTGTAGCTGGCAAGAGTATGCAGCCATGACAAGTGACTGACAAAATCGACTACATACAAGTAAAAACAAAGCACTCCTCTCTACAGCTGTCAGTGGGATTATACTTTCAAACCCTGCAAGAATGTGACCTCCTACTTGTATAGGATTCTTGCTTTCAATCATCATGTACATGATGGTGATTGCCACTTCAAACACATAGTAGCCATAGCTCATGTCTCCAAAGTCTAAAATCCCAGATACTTGATATACAGCATCTCCAAAGGCTGACTTGCTGGACTCTACTAAAATGTTATGGTCGTTAAGATCGCCATGATTGATACCTGAAAGTAGAAAAATCATGTAAAAACAGTTATTTAATATCCCAATTCATTCTCTTTCCATTTCTTTTTCTTAGGCAAGGCTATTCAAACAATTTGAAGAGCAGTCAGGGATAAAGGGTCAAACCCAATTTTATTGAAAYAAAATAATTTTCTCTGAAAAGGACAAATGCATATAATTTTGTGCTGTCTGCATTTGCTTCTCATCTATACAAAACCAGAAGATGGAGAATGCAGTCATTGCAAATATTTGATTTTGACTGCTAKAAGAGTAAATCGAAAAAGAGTACTACTCAAAGCCAGAAAAGTTTAAAAAGAATATAAACATTTTCAAATTACTGTAGAAGGCAAGGAGTTCTAGAATGGACCAAAGAAACCTTTATCTACATCTGGSGTTTCAAAACATTTTTTGTTTTTTATGAGGACAAGGCATTGCTGATTTCCCATTTTTTGATTACTGGAATAGATGCTGGTATTTTAAGTCAATACCTCTTAACATGGAGTCTGTGGCCAGTGCTGGCCTACAAAATGTTACTATAACATGAGATAAGAACAGAAACTGAGAGTATTTAGAAAGTTTTATAGTAATTTGGGCTAGGGTTGTGGCTCAGTAGTAGAGTGCTTGCCGAGACTATGGGAGGTACTGGGTTTGATTCTCAGCACCGTATATAAATGAATAAAATAAAGGTACATCAACAACTAAAAAATATATTTTAAAAAATTTTATAGTATTTGACATTTAAGAGTATGATCAGTGGCCTTATCTCATTGAACAGAGTRTAGATCAATTTAAGTTTTACCTAACAGGGATAGTTGGATATTGCCTGAGCTGTCAACTAATCATTCACAGTAGGACCATGTAATGCACAATGGGTTGGGGGAAAGAACCCTCAAACTTGTTGTTTACCATGTACAGTTTGAGAAGTACTGATTTAAGCCACTGACTAAGGATTAAGATAAGATTAGGGTGTCCATGAGCAGTGAACCACTGAGAAACAAACTTTATAAAGAAAATGCTAATTTCTTCTATATGATTCAGGATTGTCTAAATCATGCTTAAATTACGTAGCACAGTGACTGGCACACAGAACCAATGAACATTACTATAAATCACAGATGTTAAACCACACATTTCTGAAATTTGTATTTCTGAAATTTGTATTTCTGAAATTTGTATAATTGTTTCAAAATATATAAAGCAAAATTTGACAGAAATACAAGCAAAGATAGACAATCCACAGTCATAGTGGGATATTTTAAATATACTTTACTCAGTAATTGATAAAACAAGTGAAAGGTATAGAAAATTTAAACATGATTAACATATTTGACCTTCTGGGCATAGATATAACTCCATATTCGACAACTACAGAATATACTTTCTTTCCAAGCACATGTGATCTATTTATAAAARTTTACCAAATACCATATTATAAAGATTTAAATCTGCATCATAAAGTAAATTTCAAAGGACTGAAATCAGATAGCAGGGCTCTGTTTTATATGGTAGCCACTAACAAATATGTAGTCATTTAAATTTATTAAATTTAAATAAAATTGGGCTGGGGATGTGGCTCAGTAGTAGAGTGTCTGCCTGCCATATACAAGGCCCTGGATTTGATCCCCAGGACAAAAACAAATAAACAAACAGCAACAACAAAAGATGAAACTGAAAACTCATTTCCTTAGTTGTAGTAGCCACATTTCAAGYACTCACTTGCCACACATAATGGTTATTGTATTGGACAACAGATATAGAACTATTCTTTCACTGACTAGAATCCTACTGGACAAAGTTTATTAGAGTATGTTCTCTAACTACAATGAAGGGACAGCAGAAATCAATAGTAAAAAGATAAAGGTTTAGGAAAAAAAAAGTTTAGCTGGGCACAGTGGTGTATGTCTGTAATTCTAGCAACTTGGGAGGCTGAGGCAGGAGGATCATAGTTCAAGGTCAGCCTCAACAACTTAGTGAGACCCTTAGCAACTTAGCAAGACCATCTCTCAAAATAAAAAACAAAAAGGACTAAACTAGGGTGACAGCCCCTGGATTCAACCCCCAGTATTAAAAAAAGTTTATCATATTCTGGGAAAAGRATTTATAGATTCAGGTGAAAAGAAGAAATTATAAGGTGAATTACAAAATATTTTAAAGTAAATGAAAATGAAAAACTATGTATCAGTACTGGGGATGTGCAGCCTGTAAGAGATTGATAGCTACATTCTCACATAAAGTGCTTCAAACAACACCCAATTAGGAATGAGAGTTCAAACTCGAAGTTGCTAGGACTTTTCTCAAATTTCTGTGCTGATGTAGGCCTCAGTTCCTAGGCTGAACTCAGCAGATTGGCCCATGAAAATTTCTATATTGAAACAGAGGAAAGGATCCATCAAAAACTAAACCTCTATTATCCTGGGCTTGGCAGCAAGAAGAGGATAGTAGGGGAAATTCTGCAATCTGAAAAGCAAACTGAAAGGTGACAATATGGAAGGAGGTGTAACATTCCAGCTCCTAAATCTAGAAATAGTAGTAAGAACCCAAAACAACTTAATAGAAGACCAAGGATCAGAATTCCCAGAAGAAGACTGTTCATAAGAAAAAAAAAATGAGACCATTATAACTCATCAGCAGCTGCATAGCAGGCCATGCAAAATGGTGGAAAGAACAAAAATTTTCCAAAGAATCCAAACTGGAATGCTACATTATTAAGTCCCAGCTTGCTTTTTAAGTTTCAAGCTAACCAAAATGATGCTGGAGCCAAATTTAGTGAGCTACCTACCATCACCCAATGTTTTTCCCAAACCACCAAGACACTGGGTTCCTGTTAACTTTAATCCTTCAAACAGGGAAATAATGATATCTCAAAACTGTACTTAAAGGCCAGGCAAAAGATAACATACATGTTAAAACTTAGTTTTGTTTACAAATAGTTGTCAGTTGGTCTGTAACAAATTACAAATTTACTTGGGAATTAATCTATTTGTATGAAACTGCTAATTAATGTAAGACTATTAATCAGACTGCATCTCATTTGTTTTATGTATTGTGTGTTCTCTAATGTAATAGTAGTTATATGTGAAACTTAAAATAACTAAATAATTGTACCTGATAGTAAGTGTTCTCAATTGAATAACTTTTAAGTGAAAACCATTCAAGTTAAGGTTTGGGAAATGGTAAAGAAGTTAACTTTTTCTATTGTTTACTTGGGGAAATATAGTAATTTAAGATTCATGGATCAGTAATTTGCTTAGTGAATCAGACAGAGTAAGCATCTAGCTGAACCAAGGATTGAAAACTAGGTGGATATTTGAAGGTTTAATGACCTAGAAAACCAAACTACTAAAGGGCCAACAACTTAATGCACTGCCAAAAGAAAACATGAATTTTTCTTAATACCTGTATTTTTAAAAATATTTTTTCAATGTTGATGGAGCTTTATTTTTATTTTATTCATTTATATGTGGTGCTGAGAATTGAACCTAGTGCCTCACACTTGCTAGGAAGTGCTCTACTACTGAGCCACAAGCCCAACCCAATAGCTGTATTTTTTAAACAGCACAGTGGTGAATGTGTAAAGAACACTTGGAGCTTATTCAAATGAGGCACAGTATACACCAATAGCCCTGTTTCTTAAACACAGAAGATAGGTGTCTGCTAACAGATGCATCAAAACCATTTCTTATAGAAATAGTGTTGAAGCTTTCAAAATACATTTTTGTATTACAATATTGCACAATCTATTTGAACAGTATTTGGCCTCATATTCTTTGCAAAGCTTAAAATTGGGAGTTGTGTTATGTGGAAATTTTAAGTATCTAGGGAAAAAGAGCCATGTAATAAATACATGTAATAAATACACATACTGTGTCATATGTAAAGTTTATTTTGGCCATTTTCCTACAAAAATGGAGATGTTAGTATGATTTTGCTGAATGTAAGATCATGCACTGTTTTTTATACTCTGGCCTAATTTTAAAATCCAGAATTGTTTTTAAGGTTTGCCTTTATGCTAAAGTGCAGTGTATATATGTCATAATTGATTTGGTCATAAACTATATTACCCAATGTAATACATTTTGTTCTGTAACTAAAAAGGTTTAAGCTGCTAAAATATTTCCTGTTTTTATGTAAAATGCAATACAGGATTCTCTACTCTCCAGCCTATAAAACCAAAGATTCACTTTGGCTTTCACCAATTCTTATTTTTTTAAAACATTTATTTTTTAGTTGTAGTTGGACACAACACCTTTATTTCACTTGTTTATTTTTGTACGTGGTGCTGAGGATCGAACCCAGGGTCTCGCACATGCGAGGTGAGTGTTCTACTGCTGAGCTACAACCCCAGCCCTCACCAATTCTTATAACCAATAAAATACAAAAAGTGTTTGGTGCCAGTGGTCTTGGGTTTTTTGGTCATGAGTAAGTACAACCTCAGGGACCACTAACGCAAAAGGCATAGTCTCTTGCATAATATCTCTTACGTGTTTACCAACCTTAGGAGAAAATGCTAAATATAACAGTTAACCTAATAGCAAATTAGAAAAAAGTGTGTGGGCCAATTAAAAAAACTCTGATTGTTAATGCCCTATTTTCTAATTTGGTACCTTTTTAAAATCTACATATATTTTTAGTTGTAGATGGACACAATACCTTTTTTGTTGTTTATTTATTTTTATGTAGTACTTAGGATTGAGCCCAGTGCCTCACACATGCTAGACAAGGGCTCTACCACTGAGCTATAACCCCAGCCTTTTGGCATCTTTTTTGATGTTTATAAGCAGAATAGCTAAGTTGTATTTCTCCAAATGAACTCAGATGAAATATTACCCAAATCAAATGTTGAATACACCAAAGACAAAGCTTATGCAGTATTTATTGTATATGGTAAAAATTTGAAACATAAAATTCAAACTAACCCCCGCCCCCCCCCMMAAAAAAAAAGATTAAGAATGGCATATACCCAAATAAGCTGTTGAAAAAGTAGGGGGTTTAGCAATAATGTCAGAACAATTATCTTTACAATATGAAACAAACGAAAGCAATGATAAGAAACAAAATGAGGAGGATATTTTCCCTCTACTAGACCAGAAAACTAGCCTAACAAAAATGCACTTCCACGTTTTATTCTTTAAAACAATAGGAGTAGCTGGGCAAGGTGTGCTTGTAATCCCAGCTACCTGGAAGGCTAAGGCAAGAGGATCTCAAATTCCAGGCCAACCTGGGCAATTTAGTGAGACCTTGTTTTAAAAGAAAAAAGGGCTAGGACATACCTCAGTGATAGAAGGCTTGCTTAGCATGCATGAGGTCCTTGGTTCAATCCCTGGTACCACAATCAGTCACACACACATACACACACACCCCTAATGAGCTAAATTTTCATCTTAAGGAATTAAAAAAAAAAAAAAGCAAAATAGGCCAAGAGAAAGAAGAAAATACTAATTTTAAAATATAATAAAGAGGGTCTTCAGAAAAACTAAAAATAGAGAAATCTTCATTAAGATTGATCAGGAAAACAAGAGACAGGAATCTAATAATCATTACTGAGAATAAAAAGATATCACCAAAGATCTGGCAGACTTTAAAAATAAATAATAAAACAATAAAATGATATAAAAATAAATTATGGCAATAAGTATATAAATTTGGATGAACAAATTACTAGGAAAATATAACTCCCTAAATCTGACAAAATAAGTAAAATATAAATAAAAATAGTACTATAAATATTAAAGAAATTGAATCATTTATTTAAAAATTTCCCCTATAGGAAATCCAATATCAAATGGCTTCATCATAAAATTACTTTCAAATGTTAAAAAAGAAAAAAAAATCCCATCTTCCAATCTCTGAGAGGACAGAAAAACTAACTCATGTTATGAGGCTAACATAAAACCCAAAAGGGCACCTTGAGAGGAAAACTATAGGTAAATTTTACTTGTGTACCTGGATGTGAAAATCATAAATAAAATGTTTTCAAACCGAATAAGATGATAAGAAAAATGTATATCATGTCCAAGTTGGGTTTACACCAGGAATGCAATGTTGATTTAATATTAGAAATAATGGGCTGGGGATGTAGCTCAGTTGGTAGAGTGCTTGCCTCACATGCACAAGGCCCTGGGTTCAATCTCCAGTACCACCAAAAAAAAAAAAAAAAAAGAAAGAAAGAAAAAAGATGTTCAGGTACAATTTTGGGGCTGGGGATGTGGCTCAAGCGGTAACGTGCTCGCCTGGCATGCGCAGGGTGCTGGGTTCGATCCTCAGCACCACATAAAATAAAATAAAGATGTTGTGTCCACCGAAAACTAAAAATAAATAAATATTTAAAAAATTAAAAAAAAATAGAAATAACACCAGTACAATTTTACCATATCAGAGAAAAATAATGACCATCTCAATGGATGTATAAAAATTTTTAATAAAATTCAACATGTATTCATGATATAAATTCTTTTTATTTTATTTTTTGAGACAGAGTCTCACTATATTGTCAACTGATCTTGAACTCTAAACTAATCTTTCCACCTCAGCCTCCTGAGTAGCTAGGACTACAGGCATATGCCACCATAACTGGCTCATATGCATGATACAAATTCTTAGTAAACCAGGAATAGAGGGGACTTCTTTAATCTTGTGAAGGCTATCAACAAAATAACTTATAATAATCCCCACAGGTAACAGGGAAAAACACAAAGGCGTCCAGTAAAGTAAAGCAAAGCAAAGAAATAAAAGGATTGGGTTTTTTTTTAAAATAAAAGTATAATTATTTATAGATGATACATACAAAGAAACTTGAGAAGCATTTTGAAATAAACATTTGAACTTAAGTTGCTGAGATTAGTCTTGAACTTGCAATCCTCCTGCCTTAGCCTCCTAGGTTGCTCAGATTACAGGTGTAAATTTAAAAGAATAGAAAAAAAATGGATATTACAAAATGCTGTTTCTATATACTAGCAACAAACAGAAAGTGAAATTTGGGATAACATTTAAATTAGTATTTTAAAAAATCAAGTACCTAGTAATAAATCAAGAAAAGAAGTATAAGACCTCTCTGGAGAAATTTATAAACTTTAATATCTATTTATCTGTCTATATCTTAAATTCTAATCCATGAACACAGTCTATCTTTTTTTAAAAAAAAATATTTTCAGTTGTAGACGGGCACAGCACCTTTATTTTGTTTATTTAAGGTACTGTGGATCAAACCCAGTACCTCACACATGCAAGGCAAGCGTTCCACCACTGAGCCACAACTCCAGTCCATAGTCTATTTAAGTAGAGAGACAGATAGACTATGTTCACAGATTATAATACCAGTCTTATAAAAAATAATATACACTATAATGACAATTTTCTCCAAATTTATCTAGAGACTAAATCCAAAATCTCAACAGATTTTTTAAAAAAACATGACATGCTAATTCTAATTGATATGAAATGTAAAGGACCAAAAATAGTTAAGATTCTTGTAGGAGAACAAGAATGTGGGAAGAGGGCTAAGGTTGTAGCTCAGTGATAGAGCGCTTGCCTACCATGTGTGAGGCACTGCGTTCAATCATCAGCACCACATAAAAGTAAATAAATAAAATAAAGGTATTATGTCCATCTACAACTAAAAAAAAATGCTCATTCAAAAAAAAAAAAAATGTGGGTTTTTCCCTCCATGGTTTCTCTCCGCTCCCGCGAGTAACTTGGCTCCGGGGGCTCCGCTCGCCCGCCCCACGGGACCGCGCTGCTGGCCGCTGCCCGAGCAGACCCCCTCCKACGGCCCTTGCCGCGCAGGCCGGGACGCCTCTCCCCCCCTCCGCCCCGCCGCGGAAAGTTAAGTTTGAAGAGGGGGGACGAGGGAAACATGGACATGAAGAGGAGGATCCACCTGGAGCTGAGGAACAGGACCCCAGCAGCTGTTCGAGAACTTGTCTTGGACAATTGCAAATCAAATGATGGAAAAATTGAGGGCTTAACTGCTGACTTTGTGAACTTGGAGTTCCTCAGTTTAATAAAGGTAGGCTTGATTTCAGTTTCAAATCTCCCCAAGCTACCTAAATTGAAAAAGCTTGAGCTCAGTGACAATAGAATCTATGGAGGTCTGGATATGTTAGCAGAAAAACTTCCAAATCTCACACATCTAGATTTAAGTGGAAATAAACTGAAAGACATCAGCACCTTGGAACCTTTGAAAAAGTTGGATTGTCTGAAGAGCCTGGATCTATTTAACTGTGAAGTCACTAATCTGAATGATTACCGAGAGAGTGTGTTCAGGCTCCTGCCCCAGCTGACCTACCTGGATGGCTATGATMGAGAAGACGGGGAAGCCCCCGACTCAGATGCAGAGGTGGATGGTGTGGATGAAGAGGAGGAGGATGAAGAAGGAGAAGATGAAGAAGATGAGGAGGATGAGGATGGTGAGGAGGAAGAGTTTGATGAAGATGAAGATGAAGATGTAGAGGGGGAAGAAGATGAAGATGAAGTCAGCGGGGAGGAAGAAGAATTTGGGCATGATGGAGAAGTAGATGAAGATGAAGAAGACGAGGATGAGGATGAAGAGGAGGAAGAAAGCGGGAAAGGTGAAAAGAGGAAGAGAGAAACAGATGATGAAGGAGAAGATGATTAAGACCCCAGATACACTGCAAAACAGAACTGTTCAGTATTGGTTGGACTGCTCATGGATTTGATAGCTGTTTAAAAAAGAAAAAAAAAAGGTAGCTGTGATACAAACCCCAGGACGCCAGCCCACCCAAAGAGCCAAAGAATAGTTCCTGTGACATTCCGCCTTCCTCCTTTTAGTCCCTCATGGTAATCCACCACCAAGCTTGGGGACTTTGCCCCAACAAAATTGTAAGCATTGTTAGGTTTTTTGTGTAAGACTCTTGCTGTAGCATGGATAGCTGTGATTGGTGAGTCAACTGTCCGTGGCTACCAGTCACACTGAGATTGTAACAGCATTTTTACTTTCTGTACAACAAAAAAAGCTTTGTAAATAAAATCTTAACATTTTGAAAAAAAAAAAAAGTGGGAAGATATACATATTCTAACCAGGTAGGAAATCTAAAAAGTTAGATGAACATGATCAAGGAATGGGGAAGGAGGGAGGGAGGGAGAAAGTGCTGGGGAGTGATATTGGCCAAATTATATTGTTACATTGTGTGCATGTTTAAATAAAGTGTAAATAATATTATAATAATATGCATAAATATTCATTAAATTAATACTTAAATATAATTATTAATATAAAAAAAGAAATAAGGTAAAAGTATTATCACTATATGAATCACTACATAAGGCAAAAACTTTAAAAAGCCAGGAAGATATAGGAATTTCAAATTACTGGCATCATGCAGAAAATGATCAGTGCCATACACATACCTAGAAAAATTACATTCATTCAAAATATGAGGCAGGGTTCTAGTTCATGGAAAAAAAAATTAAACAAATTAAGATAGGTTGGGGGCTGAGGTTGTGCCTCGGTGGTAGGGCACTTGCCTAGCAGGTATGAGGTGCTGGGTTCAATTCTCAGCACTTCATATAAATAAATGGACAAAATAAAGGTCCATCAACATCTAAAAAATATTTTTTAAAAAATTAAGATAGTTTGATCTTTAGGTACAATGGCACATGCCTGTAACTAGCTACTCAGGAGACTGAGTTGAGAGATTCACAAGTTCAAGAAGAGGTCAAAGCCAGCTTAGGCAACACAGCAAGACCCTGTCTCAAAATTTAAAAGGGCTGGGGATGTAGTTCAGTGGTAGAACATGTGCCTAACATGCATGAGGCCCTGTATTTGATCCCTATCACCTCAAAAAATAAATCTGACAATATAAATACTGAGAAAAACATGTACTTGATTGGGGAAATACTCACATTCTCGAAAATGACTTAATTTGGTCATTACTTCTTTCTTGAACAGCTGAATGACCTGCTCAACAATCTCCCGATTTTGATTCTGGCCCAAGGCATCCACATATTTCTCCAGAAGAGGAATGTTTTTCAGGTTCCAGATGAAGTTCTCCCGATGAAGATTACTTAACTTTGGGTGATGAAATTTCTAAATCAAAAGTAAGAAACAGCCTCTTGATAGAGCAACCACTACTGAGAGCTCCACTATGCAAGAGGACTACACCATTGTATTCTCTCATGGTCTCTGACCTACTTATTGACATTAATCCACAAAATTCATATTCATACAAAATCTCGAAGTTTTGGGAGCACATTTCTATCTCACTTGATCCTCACCACTGTGTGAAGATAGATATTCACATTGGAGACAGCTCCCAACTCTATTTTCACCCACATGAGCTGACCCTGGTCCCCTGTTACCATTCTGATTTCATCTTTCACTACTTTTATTCACTGGACTCCAACCACACTGGCCTAATTGCTGCTCAGGGAACCTCACAGCCTTTGCATTTGCTGTTTCCTCTTCCTGGGATGCCTTCTTCACATATCCACATCATTAGTGTTATCATTCCTACGGGATGTTTACTCAGAAAACACCTTCTCTTCCTGACCCCTCCATTTAAAATTTTAACCATCTCTCCAATATTCTGTAGCCTTCTTCTATGGAACATCTCCCACAGGAGGCACTTTTGCCCCTTATTCAGATGGCTCTGACTGTGTTCTTCCTTTTGCTGAACTAAAATCTGATTCTCCAATACTGTCCATGCTACTGGTTCCAATTGCAATCTCTGGGGCCATTTGCAACAGGATTAGTTCTTCTTCCACAAAACTGTCCTCCAGATCTTTGAAGATAGCATCCCTGCCCCTTTGGAGTCTTCTCTTTCACAGATCAAACCTATCTGGATCCTTCAATATTTCTCATAAGATATGGTTTTAAATCTCCTTACCATCTGGTGTGTTAAATGCTACTTCGAATCACAAAAGTACTCTACAGAGTAAGCACTGAAAACACTATAGTGAGTTGTTTCATCTGAGGAGTGGGATTATAATTAGGAATGGAGATGATGGGGGAGAGGATAAATTTTCATGTTATGTTATTCAGTACTATTTGATATTTTGCCATGCATCTACATTACTTTTATTTATTTTATTTTTTGGTTATCAGGGATTGACTCAGGGGCACTCAACCACTGAGCCACATTCCCAGCCCTATTTTGTATTTTATTTAGAGACAGGGTCTCACTCCTGTGTGCCACTGCACCTAGCTGTTACTTTTATTTTTAAAGAAAGTAAAATATAACACTTTTGAGTTTCCAGTGGAGCACCACTTTACTCAGAGAAGGCTTGGAGTCAGCTTCTGCAGTGGTGGCACTATTGTCCCAGGCATCCACAGGAAGCCTCTCAGTTCTGATATTATAAAGTAGTGCAGGGGCTGGGGTTGTGGCTCAGTGCTACATTGCTTGTGTAGCACGTGTGAGGCACTACGTTCGATTCTCAACACCATATGAAAAAATAAATTAAATGAAGTAGTGCAAAGAACACCGGGCTTGAGTCAGACAGATACTGGTTTCAACAGGCTCTACCACTTAGATATTGAATCTCAGTTTTCTTTTTTTTTTTTTAAAGAGAGAGTGAGCGAGGAGAGAAAGAGAGAGAGAGAGAGAGAGAGAGAGAGAGAGAGAGAGAATTTTTAATATTTATTTATTTTTTTAGTTCTCGGCGGACACAACATCTTTGTTGGTATGTGGTGCTGAGGATCGAACCCGGGCCGCACGCATGCCAGGTGAGCGCGCTACCGCTTGAGCCATATCCCCAGCCCTGAATCTCAGTTTTCTTTCTTTTTTTTAAATATTTTTTTTAGGTGTAGATGGACTCAATATAATGCCTTTATTTTTATGCGGTGATGAGGATCGAACCAGGATCCCGCTCGAGCTGGGCGAGCACTCTACCATTGAGCCACAATCCCAGCCCTGAATCTCAGTTTTCTTAACAATAAAATCAAGATATCTGTCATTTGTGAACTAAGACAAGAAATAAAGACCTAATACATATAGGTGCTCAATAAATGTTTGTTGAATATGAATTTTGCATCTGAGCTGGCCTGTCTTTCCTTTGCTCCTTGTACAGCAACCTGAATTCCTGACAGTTTAATCAGCATTCTATTAGTCTATCTCCTTCCCTTCATTAGTTTCCTCACTCTCTCCCCTTACCTCAGCTCCCATTTGGTCCCTTGACTTATAAATGCTTCAGTTCTGATTCCTGTAATCTGTAGAGCTCCTTTCTACTCTGGATCCTGTGGGTCTGACCAGCTGCTAGAAGCTTCAATGGCTCACCCATATCCCTACCAGAGTAGTCACAGCCTCTGCCACACCTACAGGACTGAACCACTGCACCTGTGCAGTATTATTTTTCACTGATACTGTAGTTCCTAGTACTTATAGGAAAACTGAGAATTTACCACCTGCAAATGCATGGGGAGAGGCTGGTGAGGGGATGAGCAATGGGAATAAAGTATCATAAAATGAACTGCAATATCAAGCAAAGAATGCTTTCCTTCATTCCCTCTAAAGTTTCCCTGTTCCCTATAAGACAACTTAAAATTTTTAAGTTGCACAACAGTGTAGTAGGTGGCTGACTGCACAGCAGAACTCATGTCAGCAATGATATGGTGCTATCTGCTTCTGAAAACTGTATTAGACATTTTAGGATTCAGCAGAGAAAGTTGAAACTTCAGTAGCAAAGGCATATAAATGAAGCCCACCAACAGGGTAAAAAGATCGATGCTAAAGGAGTCGGTGTAATCCTTATTGAACTACCAATGACATTCTTTACAGAAGTAGAAAAATCAATCCTAAAACTTGTATGGAACCACCACAACAACAAAAAAACTCAAGTAGCCAAAGGAATTTTGGGAGAAAAAAAAATCAAAGTTGAAGGCATCCCACTTCCTCATTTAAAGTTATATTACAAAGTTACAATAATCAAAATAGTACAGCACTGGCATAAAAGCAGAAAGACCAGTGGAAGAGAATAAAAACCTAAAAATAAATCCAAGGATATATGGCTAACTAATTTTCAACACCAAAAAAGATATAATAGGGAAAGGATGTCTCTTCAAAAAATGGTGCTGGGAAAATTAGACATCCACATGCAAAATAATGGAATTGGACCCATATACAGAAATCAATTAAAAATGAAAATATATATGTAAATGTCAGAGCTGAACCCATAAAGTTCCTGGAAGAAAACAGGGGAAAAGTTCCTTGACAATAGCCTTGACAATGACTTCTTAGATATTATACCCAAAACTCAAACTACAAAAGTAGAAATAAATATATGGGATTATATCAAATTAAAAAGTTTTTACACAGGAAAGAAAAAGATAACAAGCTGAAAAGGCAACTTACAGATTGGGAAAAAAATATTTGCAAACCATGTGTCAGATAAGGGGTTAATATTCAAGATTTATAAAAGACTCCTACAACTCATAGCAAGAAAACATACAACCAATTTTTTTTAAATGCGCAAAGAACTCAAATAGATATTTGTTCAAACATGACATAAAAATGGTCAACAGGTACATGAAAAGGTGCTCACCATCACTAATCCTCAGGGAAATGCAAACCAAACCACTGTGAAACATTTCCTCCACCTGTTAGGATAGCTATTATCAAAGACAATGGATTTCACTCTTATTTAATAAATTCTGACACTGTGGGAAGAAAAAAAAAGAAGAGAAAACAAGTATTGGGAAGCTGTGGAGAAAAGGGAGCCCTTACACACTGCTGGTAGGAATGTAGATTGAGGAAGCTAAAGAAATTAAAAACAGAACTGCCCTATGAGCCAGCAATCCCTCTCCTGGGTATATGCTCAAAGGAAATAAGACCACCACCTTGTAAGGACACCTATGCTTCCATGTTCATTGTACTGTATTTAGGATTTTTGCTGAGTAGATTATAGCTGTTCTTGTCATGGCAGGAGGAATAACTATGTGAGGAGGCATATACATTAATTTGTTTTATGACAGTAACCATTTTRTCATATATGTATCTTACAACTTGTTGTATACATAAATATACACAATAAAATTTATTTATTTTAAATGATTAGAAACCCGGCAGGCTGCGTGGCACATGCCTATAGTCCTATTAGCTCAGGAGCCCGAGGCAGGAGGATTGCAAGTTCAAAGCCAGCCTCAGCAACTTAACGAGGCCCTAAGCAACTCAACAAGACCCAGTCTCTAAATAAAAAACAAAAAGGGCTGAGGATGGGGCCCAGTGGTTAAGCACCCCTGGGTTCAATCCCTGGTACAAAAGAAAAAAAATCTGTTTAGATATTAATTTTAAATAGTTCATTTAGTAGCTCAAATATCTGAAGATAACAGAATTTACTGAGCATTATAAGCATTTCAAAGGTTTTTCTAAATACCATTAATAAATGCAGAAAATCTCCTAAAATACATTCAAATAGAACTGGATATTAATATCTAAATTATACTAATATTCCCAAATGGACTTTTTTTTTTTTTTTGATGGTGCTGAGGATTAAACCCAGGGACTTATGCATGCTAGGCAAGTCCTCTACCACAGAGCCACATTCCCAGCCCCTCAAACGGACATTTTAATGAATATTTACAAATGGATTTACTCAAATTTAACCGAAACTACTTCAATTAAAATGCTTAATATGTTTACCACCCAAAGCTATGCATGGCTCAGTAAAGCTTCATTGAATAAATGAACAGAGTGCAACAGAAAAAGGTCTGTCAGCTTACAAACATTTACTAAATTGTGGACTAAGTGTTCCTAGATCATGGAATAAATGGTCCCCTGAGTATATCTCTGTATGATGAGATTACTGGTAACTTGATTTTTGGGGGGTTGGGGGTACCAGATATTGAACTCGGGGGCACTTGACCACTGAGCCACATCCCCAGCCATATTTTGTATTTTATTTAGAGGCAAGGTCTCACTGACTTGCTTAGTGCTTCACTTTTGCTGAGGCTGGCTTTGAACTTGTAATCCTCCTACCTCAACCTCCCATGCCGCTGGGATTTTAAGAGTGTGCCACCGTGCCCAGCTGGTAACTTGGGTTTTCTTTGTATTTTTATTTGTTTTCTTTAAGCAATGAATCACTAAAGGGTTTTTTTAACCAGAGGAAATAAAGGTTATTTCTATTTTGAGATAATTGAATAAAAGAATACTATTTAGACTATATAACATGGACTTCGATTTCTCATCAAGAGGAGTAACAGGGACTGAGTCTAAACCCTGAACAAAATATCTGAAATACTAGCTTTTAAGTCATTTGACATTAGGCAATGAAGTACTCGGATACTTGAGAGATGAAAGACAAATGAGCTGAGTCTGACCCTGTCCTTTCCTACAGAGGACATGGTGCAGAGAAGTGAGAGCCAGGTGGAGTTCCGAGAGCTCACTGGTTTGAGGAGGTAGAGCTCAGAGTCCAGGAAGAACAAGATGGCTAGAGAATGCAGGACAGTTTACCAGAGATCAGAAAGCGCAGAGAGAGAACTCCAGAGATCTGTAGCAGGTCTCCTTGGAGAATTTGGCAATTGGTGTATGATCCACATATGAGTATGAGGAAACTGCTCAAGATCAGGGAAAGAACCACCTGAAAGAAATAGAAGGGATATGGCTTGACATACACGCAGGGCTGGAAACCTCCCAACTGGAAAAGAAAATATCACAGTCCAAAGGACAAGGTAGAGGACTGAAAAAGGTCTTGCATTAGCAGTGGGGAATAACCATTCCTAGAATAAACCCAACCCTGGTCCCACCTATAAGGTATTATAAGCAAGACTCAAGAAGATCAAACTGCTTTCAAACAACTTACTGAATCTACTCAAGGTTGGTCAGTGAACATCAAGCATAAGAAACACAAAGAAAGCTACACAAAATCTAATCCTAACCAAATGCTCAAAACTAAAGATAAAATTTTAAAAGCAGGGCTGGGGATGTGGCTCAAGTGGTAGCACGTCCATCTGGCATGCGCGAGGCACTGGGTTTGATCCTCAACACCACATGAAAATAAAAAATAAAGATATTGTGTCTACCTAAAACTAAAAAATAAATTAAAAAAAAAAGTTTTAAAAGCAGTCACACACATACACACACAAACACACGAGACACATGATGTTCAGAGGAACAATCTGACAGCAAATTTCTTGTTGAAAATAATGCAAGTAAGAAAAAAGTAGAGCAATGTCTTTAAAATACTGAAAGAAAGATGGGCATGGTGGCGCACACCTATAATGTCAGCAGCTTGAGAGGATCACAAGGAGGCAGGAGAATCACAAGCTCAAAGCCAGTCTCAGCAACTTAATGAGGTCCTAAGCAACCTGGCAAAACCCTGTCTCAAAATAAAAAAATAAAAAGTGCTGGGGATGCAGCTCAGTGGTTAAGTGCCTCTTGGTTCAATCCCTGGTAATTGCTCCCCCCTCAAAAAAAAAAAAAAAAAAAACAGAATACAAAAAGATCCTCAACCTTAAAGTGTATACCTAATAAAAATATCTTTCAAAATTATAAGTGGGGCTGAGTCTAGCTCAGTGGTAGAGTACTTGCCTCGCATGCTCATGACCTAAATTTGATCCCTAGCACCGCATATAAAAAATAATTTAACTAAAGAAGTTCATTACCTCAGACCTACACTATAAGAAATGTTAGGCTGGATTTAGTAGTGCAGGCCTGTAATCCCAGCAGCTGTGGAGTCTGAGGCAGGAGGATCGCAAGTTCAAAGTCAGCCTCAGAAATTTAGTGAGGCGCTAAGCAACTTAATGAGACCTTGCCTCTAAATAAATAAATGAAATACAATAAAGGGCTGGGATGTGGCTCAGTTCAATCCCTGATACCAAAAAAAAAAAAAAAAAAAAAAAAAGGAAAGAAAAAGAAATGTTAAAAGAGATGTGGTGTCATCATATGCCATGATTTGTCATGGACTCTTTCCTTCTGCCGGCATGTCCATCTTCCTTTTCTCTACCTGACTGATTCACATCACCAGTTCAGATGTTACTTTTCTTTTTATTTTTTTCTTGAATTCCTGCTATGTATGTATTTGACACTGCTAGACACAATGGATAAAAGATACATAAATAAAACATACACACTTTTCTTAGGAAGTTCACCGGAGTTCACTGCTTCTTATGAAGCATATGTACAGGAAGCACAGAAATGAAACAAGTAATTATAATACCATATGTGGAAGACTATTACCCGAGTGGTCCCCTATGAACTATGTCTCTTGGTTCATGCCCTTATATAGCTTCTCCAGTTGATGTTAGTATTAGCCATGTCACCTGCTTGGGCCAATGGGACATAAGCTAGCATGACTGAAGCAGAGACTTGATAAGCATGTGTAAATTGKTGCATGCCCTCTTGGAACTTTCTCTTTTAGAAGCCAGTAGCCATGCCATAAGGATGTTCCAGCCATCCTTAAGGATGAGACATCATATGACAAGAAGAGGACACATGGAGAAGAACTAAAGCTCCCCAATTGTGCTCCCAGTGGAATCCAGCTACACGAGTAACCCCCCCAATCACACTAAGCAGAGAAGAGCTGCCTGGTCAACCCACAGAATCATGAGAAATAAATAATTATTGTTTTAAGTCAATAAGATCGGGGATGGTTTTTTACAGTATAACCAGAACTTAGTGAATGTTTGTTGAATAAATGAAGACATTCTGTGGTTGGGTCTGAAAAATATTTGTCGAACATATTGTTTCTATAGGACAAAACTATCAACACAAGTCATTCTAATCCATTTACAACTTAGCTACTGCTTCACACAGAGCTCCAGCAGATTATAGCTTAGTTAGATGAAAAGTTCAGGCTTCATTTTGTTAGTATAGACTATTTTCAGTGAGCAGTATAAAGAATATCATGACTTCCTAAAAATTTAGATAATTTTGCCAATATGTCATTAAAGCGAGAATCTGGGTGGAAGGAGGTATCCTTGCTCACATAAGATTAATTCATCTAAGACCCTGATCCCTACATAAGACACCTCAGGAGCCCCATATATAAAGAGAATCTGATCCTGAGCTCATTTTGAAAGTGAGATAAACAAACAGAAATCCTTTACAAACAAAATAAAACCCCAAATCTTACCTCCAGAGCCTTGTCCAATTTGGCAGCTAGCCTTCCAATTTCATATAACAGCTGGGTGCTGACAGGAATCTTAGCAATAGGTTTTCCCGGGAGGTAAGTCAGTAGCCTCACCAAGTAGCTTTTGATTTCAGTGCCACTATCTAGATGGATAGAATGATATAACCTATCAACTCTTTTTGAAAAAGTTAATTAGAAGTTGTTTGCATTGGCAATTATTACTGAAATAAAACTGCATAATAAAAAAAATGTGCTAACTGAACACAGCATTCTGAGGCAGAGCTGAGTGGATTAAAGTAAGCAGGTAGAAAGACAAATCTTAACACTGGAATTGGCCATTCACATACCAACAAGCATAGCTCTAACTCTGCTAGTCTTAGCTGTAAACAGAAATTACCTAGTTTGGTAAACACATGCCCCCAAACCACACTCATTCATAAATTTACAACTGAAATATAAACAAATATATTCCTCCTGGGCACAGTGGTGCAAGCCTATAATCCCAGCTGCTTGGGAGGCTGAGGTAGGAGGATTGCCAGTTCAAAGCCAGCCTCAACAAAAGCGAGGTGCTTAGCAACTCAGTGAGACCCTGTCTCTAAATAAAATACAAAATAGGGCTGGGAATGTGGCTCAGTGGTAGGGTGCCCCTGAGTTCAATCCCTGGTACTCCCCCCACCCCCCCAAAAATGACTATTCCAGAATCACAAGGCTTTTTCAGGGGCAAATTGCAGTATAGCCTGTTTGTAATGTATTCTACAACTTCTAATCCTCAGGGGCCCTACTGGTCCTCAGTTGTTTGGAGCAATGCAAATTAAGAAAGAATAAATGAACAATCAAGAGAGAAAAAGATAGTCAAGATTTCCAACCTTAAAAAGTTCCAAGAAATTGATTTCAAGGTACTGCTTGTTGAATTAGATACTTCTTCGCATTCAGTATTGAGAGATGAAAGGGACTATGTCTCACAGATGAGGACTTGAAGCCTTGGGAATGTAAGTCATCTGCTCATGTCACATATACAGTAAAGACATAACTGGCAACATGCTGATTTCTAATCTTCTGTTTTTTCTACTATACCATAGCACCAAAATATGCAGCTAGTCTAATGAATAAAAATATTTAATTGGGATGAGGGGAGTAACTCAGTGGTAGAAGGCTTGCCTAGCATGCCTGAGGCCCTGAATTTGATCCCCAGCACTGAAACAAATAAACAAACAAACAAACAAATCTTGTGGAATACAATTTTTTAAATGTTCTACTGATTTCCCTGTAGTTATCATTCATCAGGGCCTTTCTAAACAGAAATGCTATACCAGATCCCAGCTCTTACCACTGGGAGACCCAATTTCCACTGTGCAGCTTCCCCCAACCACTAGAAAAAATAACCACATCTATGCTTAGAATTATGATCCTGATTTTGATACTGTATTTCTACCTGTAGCCAAAATGCAGTAATGGGCCTGGAGAAGGGACATGCTGGCAAATTGGTCATCTCTTACCTATAGACATAAGAGAGGTTGTGTTGTCTCCTTTAGTGCGACACACAGAGGCCGTTGGAAATCCAGCTGCTTTCAGAAACATGATGATGTGATTCTGCACTTCAATCAGGTCTGGATTTTTGCTGGCTTCTGTGTTGCTTATTTTGAGAACATATTCAATTGGGCCATCTGCAGTATCTTTAATTTTTGAAATGTGAACGTGAAAGTTTTGGTCATCATAACTGGGAAGTGGCTGGATCTTAGAAACTTTTAACCCAAATACCGATTCAACTACTGCAGAGGCTTGTACCTCAGTGAAAGTTGGTTTGGCAAGAGCCTGTAATTGCTCATCATCTCCACTTGACATTACGTCTGGGGTAAAAACAAGAACCAGAAAGGGGATATAAACATAAGGATATTTATTTAGATGATTACTTCTTTTGATTATTAATTAAAGTTTTAAAAAATCATATCAGTGCATGACATCAAGAAGTAGATGTTTTGGCAGTTGATTAAAACCCTTGTACCATAAATTATTTTCAAACTTACCTTCTAAACTGAATAAGGACAGAACATAAGACAGGAAAGCCCCTTGATATCATCCAGTTCAATCTCTCTCCTCTCACCAACTTTACAGGAGAAATTTAGGTGACTTGCCCAAGTTACATAGTCAATTTCAGTAAGAAGTCAACTCTCCAGACTGTTGACCAATGATCATGAAATCTTTACTACATTACCACCAGTCTTGGGCTAAAAGTTAAATTCAAGCACAGCAATCTTTTCTAGTCACAGTTTGTTATAAGAGTCAACATCTGACTTATTTYACATACTTCAAATATTAAAAAAAAATGGGGACCAATGTACATTATGTAAGGCCTTCTGAAAGATGAGAGTAAGGGGCTTTGTAACATCTATTTATGGAGTCACAGATTTACTAAACAAAAAGTGTAAACACAACTCTGAATAAGTTAGATGGCATTAATTAACAAAAGAATAGAATGCCAGAGGAAAAAACTTGAATTAACCAAGTACAAACCCAGATGACTGAGTGGTTGAAATTAAATTGTAAAGAAAACGTTTTCTATGGCCAAGAGGAATAAAGACTTAAGATAAAAATTAAGGCCAATTACAGAAAATAAATTTATGTCTGAATTTATGATCTATGAAGTGAGTATCTGTCAAAAGTATGGCGGAAAAATTGAGAGGGAAGAGAAATTACTATGATCTAAGGAAGATATTGTTGAGAAGATGGATTTCAATTGAGTTTTTTAATATGATTTGAGATAGGGTGGGGAAGACTATTTTCTCAGTGTTGGCAATTCCATCCTCAGCTACACATACCTGGCATCTTTCCTGAGCATCCAGATATATGTGAAGGGTAGTGTAGGACTTCTGAAAATCCTTAGGAACAAAATATTTAAGGTTCTTACAATTTTACCTTCCTTTTTTCCCAAAATAGTTCAATTCCAATCTTTCCTTCCTACYAAGTTGCCAATGATTGATAACATCTTGGGGTGAGTTGCATTTTAGGATGTAGTTTGTGTGTGCATGTATATGTGGTACTGGGGATTGAACCCAGGGGTACCACTGAGCTACATGCCCAGCCTTTTTTATTATTTGAGACAGGGTCTCACTAAGTTGTTGAGGCTGGGTCTCCAACTTGCTATCCATCTGCTTCAGCCTCCTAAGTAGCTAGGAATACAGGCATGTGTCATCGTGCCTGGCTACAGGGAATTTTTTGTGAAGAAAATGTTCTATATCTTACTTAAAAAAATATTTTTTAGTTGTAGTTGGACACAATACCTTTATTTTATTCATTTATTTTTATGTGGTGCTGAGGATAGAACCCAGTGCCTCACACGTGCCAGGCGGGCGCTCTACTGCTGAGCTACAATCCCAGCCCCTCTATATCTTACTTTTTATTTTTATTTTTATTTTTTTTATTTTTAACATCACTGGGGACCAAACCCACAATGGTAGGCAAGTGTTCTACCACTGAACTACACCCCCAGCCCTATATCTTGACTAGGCTTTCATTACATGAGTGCATATATTTGTCAAACCTCCACTTAAAGCTTAAATAAATGTAAGTTCTGTCAAGTTAATGTAAGCTTAAGTAAATGTAAACTGTCAATGAAAGCTTTACCTTAAAAAAAAAAAAAAAAAGGTTAGCCCTTGTTAGAGATACGTTAGGACAAGGAAGGGTGTATCTTAGGACTTCCTGATAACTCCCAAAATCAAACTGTAAGAAACGGCACCACACTACGAATGGAAGATACCACATGACACAAATAACCAGAGAGGTTCCGCTTTATTACAAAAGGCTGTGGGTTTATATAGACCTAAGGAGAGGTGGCAGGTCTGAGGTAGATAATGGGTCACCGGTTTATTGGCAAGCTCTTCTATATGTCAGTTCCAGAGCCCAAAAAGTTAATTCTTATTGGGGCTAAGGCTTCCCACCCGCAGGACTTGAACATTGGCGTTGACGGGAACGTTTCGTGCCAGTGAAAGAAAAAAGAGGAGAAAGAGGGTCGTTAGGCGCCATGTTGGGGTTTTTCTCTGGGGTGCTGCTGCCGTTATGTTTTCCCAACACAAACCATATGTCCATTAATGTCTAATCACTTCAGCTCTATCACAGCTTACTCTACTGAGGGGAAGGAGATAAAACTCAGGGATGTGTCCTAGGGTTCTTGTACATAACTCTCTCCTAACCTCAGGACCAAGACTATAGCCTGACATTGAAGCGATAAGATGGGTATAAATCTCAAATGCTAACCACCCAGCAATGGCCTTCGGCAAAGAAATTCCTCCCACCTCTAAACCTGCATTCCCCCTGTAGCACTGGTTGATTTTCTTTTCCTGTTATTGCATTCTTGACAATCACTTCTGTGCTTACTTTTCTTTTCTTTTCTTTTTTTTTTTTTTTGAGAGAGAGAGAGAGAGAGAGAGAGAGAGAGAGAGAGAGAGAGAGAGTTTAAATATTTATTTTTTAGTTTTCAGCAGACACAACATCTTTATTTGTATGTGGTGCTGAGGATCGAACCCAGCGCCACGCCCGTCTGTATACTAAAAAGTTGTTGAGTTGAAAAAATAAGTCATATTTTAGGTCAGTGATAGAACACTTGCCTAGCATGTGTGAGACACTAGGTTGGATTCTCAGCACCACATAATAAAATAAAGATAGTGTGTCCATCTACAACCAAAAAATATTTTTAAAAAGTCATATTTTGGGGCTGGGGATGTGGCTCAAGCGGTAGCGCCCTCGCCTGGCATGCGTGCGGCCCGGGTTCGAGCCTCAGCACCACATACCAACAAAGATGTTGTGTCCGCCGAGAACTAAAAAATAAATATTAAAAAAAAAATTCTCTCTCTCCCTCTCTCACTCTCTCTCCTCTCTCACTCTCTCTTTAAAAAAAAAAAAGTCATATTTTATCTCTAGCTCTGCTACCTAACCTTTGAAACTTTGGACTAGCCACAAATTTTCTCAAGGTCCTTTCTAGCTTTAACATTCTTATGCTGCTAAAATTCTTCCTGAGATTAAATTTCCCCTTTTTCTTGTATGCAAAAGACTCCAAAATCATGGAACCAATTCCAATCTGCTTCTCCAGTTCTTTTTATTTGAGACAGGGTCTTGCTAAGTTGCTGATGCTGGCCTTGAACTTCTGGTTCTCCTGCCTCAGCTGCCCAAGTAGCTGGAATTACAGGCATGTAATACCAGGACTGTCTGTCTTAACCAAATGTGCCCTGTGTGTGGAGAAGAAGGAAGGGGTTTCCAATCCTATAAGTTGTTGGTCTTTATTTCCTACCAACAATACTTTTGCTTAGCTCCTGAAAAATCAAGTGTTTTCCAGTCCAAGGTTTGTGCCAGAATCTCACAATCTTTGACCCACAACCTGGACCTTAATCTGGACCTTAATCTCTCTACTTTGTGCAAGGTATACCACACAAAAAACAAAAGTCAATCTTCATTCTTTTCTCTCCCTCCCTTCCAAAGTGATACAAAGTCCAATGAACTCTAACACGTCTTATGAATACCTTTCTTCTGCAACCCTTTCTGCTGTGTCCTGCTATCACTGGAGAGCATGGACTGTATCCCAAACATCTAGCTGGGTGCCTTATTTAATATTAAATAATGAATCAGGGGTTGCCTTTACTCCACAGGCTCACAGGCTGTATACCTTCAAGGGAATCAAGAAACAGTAAAGCAGGGATTCTATAGACTTTTAATTTTTTCAAAGATAATAATAATGCGCTACTGGGTGCTCTGGGGGGTCTCGCTGCTAATAAGACAGAGCAGTGGCTCACCGGGATACAGAGGGGCTGCTGACCCAAGAGGCAGGAAACTAGGTGAGGAGGAGGTAGTAAAAGTTAGGCTCACAGCGTTAATATATAAGCAAGGTCCACAGGAGCATTAGAAATGGTTTCCAGCGTGCACCTTCCTAGTGCTGGAATCACCACCCGGGTCTCAAGAGGGATGGCCCCGCGGGCTTCTCAGGTGCCACGCTTTGGTTCTGGGATATCAGCTCTGCCTCTGCGTTCCCAAGAGGTCCAGCCACAGAGCACGGTGACTTGCCACCACTCGTGTAGCGAGTATGAGGTGGAGCAGGGTCCTGGAGGAGTCCCAGGAACAGGACTCCCCGCCCCAGACTGGCAGCGAGCCGGCCTGTTCTCGGAGATACCCTCTCCAGGAGTACCCGGGGCTCACCTTTGCTTTCCCCACCTCTGCTCACTACCACGATTCGACGTCCAGAGGTGGACCCACTCTCCGCAGCCCAGTGCTCCAGCTGCTGCAGCAAGACCAGGTGAGGTCCGAGTTGCAGCGTTTCGGCCCGCCCCTCTTCTACGCCCTGTAAGCCCCGACTTTTGATTGGCTCCTCCCTCCAACCCTCGCCGCGCAGTCAGTGCAGACTACTAGAAGGCAAAGGTTGCATGGGCGCGCCAGGACTTGGCTTGGCCCCGCCCCTGAAGGGGCGAGCAGAAATTCAGATATCTGCCTTCTGATTGGCTCATTGAAATCTGCCTCGCCTTCTCTTGGTGAGTACCCCAATCAGAATCTGTCTATCTTATTACGTAATTGGAGCCTTGTTTCTGATTGGCCCCCTGAGGTTCCACCCGCCAGTGTGTCAGCCATTTGCCAGGCTTTTGGTCCTTGAGTGCACTTTTCAGTTCCGCCTTGTCGGTGGAGTATCTGCGTGAACTTCAACCGTCAGCATTCCAAATGTTTGGATAGAGCTCTGTACTCGTTTATTTTACTCACACCCCTTCCCGTTCTCACAGGAAGCAAGTATCTTGGAGGCCACCTTCGGAAAACAAGGCCCGAGGTAGATTCGAGTCCATCCTGGCCTCAGGAACTGCAGGAGGTCCAGAGTTGAGCCTGACTGCATTCCACTAGGTCTCTGACTTTCTCGGGATACTGAAATTTTCGAACCAAATGGTCTTATTTATTGAATAAGCCGACACACTAAGCCTCTAGGGGCACAGAGCCTCAAAGGATTTTGGTCATCCAACTTCCAGTTTCGGCTCTTGCCACAGCACAGAATTTTCTGCTCTCCTCCCAAGCCATTTAACTCAGTATAGTAGATGGTGAGGGAGAGGGAAAGCCTCCTTAATAAGCTTCCTAGGGGGTTGGCATCACAATAACTCAGGATGTGATGAACGACTCGTTTACATTGAGAAATAGAACTGGTAATTGGGTCAGAATCCTTATTTATGTAGTGCAATCAGTGAAAGTCTGCAGAGACTACAAGATTTTCAGGAGGCTGCCTGAGACTCATGGAATAACAGGTTAGTGGGATAATCCTAACTGCGAAGCGCATAAGGCTCTGATAGCTTGATGTCTTTCTCCAGCCAAGCAGGACTTCTCTAATAGGTCAGAACTTTCTAGTGGAAGCGCTCTGGATGTCTGTCCACCCTTGCTTGCACGTGGGTCTCTATTTTGTTTTGTACCCGCCCTTCTCACCCTATCTCCCACACACTTTGTGTCAGGATTTAGCGTGCTCAGGTTACCTATAGCCACCCTGATTGATTTGGATGTTTCCCAGACTTCTGTCAACTGTTGAATGATGACTCTTTTCCCTTTAGATATAGTTCGTTATCTGCTTCACTTCTAATCTTCAAGTAGCAAGGCTTTTTGCAGCCCCAGGGGGAGTCCCACTCCTTCCAATTGTCAAAAAGTAATTTTTCGGATTATCAGAATTAAAATCCTAGGGGCTGGGGTTGTGGCTCAGTGGTAGAGTGCTCGCCTAGCATGGTTGAGGCACTGGGTTCTATCCTCGGCACCACATAAAAATAAAATATAGTGTCCACCTAAAACGAAAAAAATAAATATTAAGAAAAATCCTATTGGCCAGCTGGGGTTGTAGCTAAGTGGTAGAGCACCTGCCTAGCATGTCTGAGGCACTGGGTTTGATCCTCAGCACCACATATACATAAAAAAAATTTGACAACTTAAAAAAAAAATCCTATTGGCCCTCTTAGACCACTCTGCATGCTCAACACTTGGAGCACCTGAACTCTGTCCACCTTCTCTTGCTATTTCTATTGGTCTGTTTTCTTTCTGTACTCCTTTTGGGATCGAAGAATGGCAATGAGGATTTAATTGGGAAATTGAGAATCTGAGAGACGGGACTTCTAGATCTACAATTGCTTTCTTTGGTATGAGCCCATTTCCATTCTCTGGACCTTCTTTAGAAATATGTTCTTTGTAACTTGCCCTTTTCACTTTGTTAACATTCTCATTTTAAAGAATATCCTCATACATAAATCTTTTGTGCATTTTTAATTGTCTTAAAGCTGTTAGGCTTCAATGGGATTCTAAGAGAATTCTAAGAGAACACTTTCAAGCCTTTTAAAAAATATTATTTTAGTTATACATGGGCACAATACCTTTATTTATTTAATTTTATGTGGTGCTGAGGATGGAACCCAGGGCCTCACACATGCTAGGGAAGCACTCCATCACTAAGCCAAACCATAGCCCTCAAGGCTTTTATGCAGCAAAATCATGTTTTGCCTCAATAATATCAGCATTGGGTATCATGATTAAAAAGTTCCACCAATCTAAGACATTTTGTTAACATTTTTCCTCTACCCTAACCACAGGGTCACTTCAAGTAGAGGTTCTCAGTGAGTTCAGTAATCAATACTTGGAAGCCAGGCACTGTGGTGCACATTCATAACAGGAGGCTGAGGTAGGAGAACCACAACATTGATGCCAGCCTAAGGAACTTAGTGAGACCCAAAATAATAAGTAAAAAGGGCTGAGGATATAGCTCAATGGTAGAGCACCCCTGGATTCAATTCTCAGTATTGAAGGAAAAAAAATGTGGGGCGGGGGGGGGTAATGAAAAGAAGTAAACAGTTTGTAGCAAGATTATAGAAATGATTTTATATTACAAAACAATTTTATATTATAAAATAATGGGGACTATAGCTCAGTGATAGAGTGAATGTTTAGCATATGTGAGTCTCTCTGGTTCAATTCCCAGCACCCAAACAAAACAATTTCTATACAATAGTTGTGTAGCTTTGCATTTCCATTATATACTGCAAGATGTTCACCATGCAAACACAAAATTCAGTAACAACACATTTCACATTATAAGAGCAACTTTTCTATTACATCTACACCTGCTTTTGCAATAGATGGTTCATTTTTCAAATATGGTAATGAGGTGCTTATTTGATGGCGACGTCTAAAAAAAAATGCATCCTTAGGCAGGTTCATTGTGTGAACACCAATGTACTTACACAAATTAAAATAGCTAAGTCACTAGGTGATACAATCTCACAGGACCATTGTCATTTACATAGCTTACTGTTGATGGAAATCTCCTTTTGTGGCATATATCTATATGCTGAATGCAGGCTGGGGACTGAACCCAAGGGTGTTGTACCACTAAGCTACATTCCCAGCTCTTTTTACTTTGAGACAGGGCCTTGCTAAGTTGCTGAGGCTGGCCTCAAACTTGTGATCTCCTCAGACTCCCAAGTTGCTGGGATTACAGGTATATGCCACAACACTCGACTAAACACAAGCTTTATGGTCTAATATTTTGGAGAACTTAAGCCAAACAGCTCATATCAAAACAATAAATCTGCATGAAAACTAAATTAATTTAAAAGCAAAATTAATATCAAGTGAAAACTAAGTCAAATACATACAACACTAATGATACTGTAAGTCTCCTTCCAAGACTGGATATTCAAACTATCAGCATACGCCCAGGCTGGCCGTAGCCTTTGTATTGCAAACATCTTAGAAAATTTGTTAGAATCCTTAGAAAACTTGAATTTGACCATTTTGGTTTATGAATGCCAAATTTTGATAAATAAGCTTTAATCACTCATTTAGGTTGCTGGTAAGAGTGTGAGAAAGGACTATTCTTTTAGATCAGCGGGGAGCTGGCCATATTTACAAAATATTATTTTAGGGTCGAGATGTAGTTCTGGCTCTGAGCTGCTGACTTGTGGCAGAGGGAGTAAGTGGCACCATTAGCTGGTCTTAAAGTAACAGGGCCCCAAAATACCATTCCTCTATCCTGCATCCAGAAAAGGTTCTCTCTGAGCTGGGTATATTGTTCAATAGTAGAGCTGCTTGCCTAGCATGACTGAGGCCCTGGGTCAAAAAATCCTGTTTTGGCAAAACAAAACCAACCTAGTTTCTCCTAAAATACATAATTCATAGCATGAGACCTCCAAATTTGTCCTGAACGTTAAATTAACTCCATAATAAAAGACCCATGGTATGGAGATTATATAGATGCAATTTGTTAAGGGTTCAGTCTACCTAAATATAGATTTCATTTTTAGTTGTACAAAAGATGCACAGACACATCAGGGAGAAGTAGAATCAGTGGGTATGAACTACAAGGAGACTTCAACTAAAMGTTTTTTTAACCATCAAAACTTCAGAGAATAGCATGGATTGCCTAGCACAGTAGGCAGTCTCCACTTCTTGACAGTTAAAAGGCTGCCCAATTAAGAGATGTTATTTGTATAAAGGATCCCGAGATTAGTCTTTTCAGCTCTACACTAATTAAAAAAAAATCTATGTATCTGTTAGAACACTCCTGGAATCAAATTCAACTTAAGATTAGCCTACCCCTATTTCAAATGTTTACCTTGATTTTCATTCATATTTGCCCTAGAGTGGAAGGGACAACTAGAGATAAGGACTCATGAGAATGACTGTGGTTTACATCTGGCAGTTGTGTTGGGAATAGCTGTCTCAACATTTAGATAACATATTTGAAGAGAAATTTTTAGATTGCAACAAATTTCTTTTTCTTTTCTTTTTGGATACTGGAGATTGAACTCAAGGGTGTTCTACTACTGATCTACATCCCCATGCCTTTTAAAAAATTGTTTAAAAATTCTGAGGCAGGGTCTCAAGTTGTTGAGGCTGACCTCAAATTTGTGATCCTTCTGCCTCAGCCTCTGGAGTAACTGAGATATACACATGCACGATCATGCCTAGCATGTCTTTTTTTTTTTTTTTTTAGGCATAGTGTTTTATTTTCAATTACTACAAATTACTTTATAATGAGTCAAATGTGATAATACAATTTTCTTTATTAAAAATAATTTACAGCATCAGTAACATATACACAATTGTCATCAACTGAACTTTGCCTCCGATATATTTCTATACAATACTTAACATTATTGAACTTAAAACTGTTATACTGTTTTGTTGGCTTTTAAATAATAGACAATGATTTATAGATACATGAG